CGACCATTCATTTTTGTTTGATTTTTTAAATGAGAAAGAGACAAAAAATTATAAAAAGATAGCAACTACTTTCAAAAATTCAACTAAAGATAATTTTAGTAGCCTTGTGAGGCACGTATTTAAATGCGCGAAAAACACAATGACGTATTACGGAATCTGGTTATGTTTTCTATGGGATGTACAGTATGGTATTGACATTGCAACTAAGTTGATTTTTTTAAATAAATATTTGCGATCGTGTTTACAGCTACTTAGTTTTCATGAATTCTTATTACTCATCCTTTAAATGTATTATGAGTTATGAATTTATTTGTATTTTATTGTTATTAAAGAGTGTACATTCAACTGCTATACTAGATTACATGCACTAATTTTGCATATTATCCAGTAATTTATTATCCTGTCCTATTTTGTTGTAAATATGTATATATAACAATTTTGGTATACCTAATAATGTCTTTCTTAATCTGATACATACCGAAATATGCTAGTAGTTACTTTTCATCCGATACAAAAAAATAATAATTACCGTATATATTTTAATGTTATATTAAGATATTATAAATATGCAGCAACGTTACCTTGAACGAAAAAGCAAAGCAAAACAAACAAACCATTCATTTATTATAAGGATACCAAATACTTTGCATATAGGTTTATTCATGTTCGTACTTATTCTTTGCTGCTGTTTGATATGATTTTATGTTCATGATTTAGTTATTATTATTATTTGTTTCTTTTTTTCTTTTTTCTTTTGTTAACTATTGCTTCTTATTTTGTTTAGCAAGGCCTCATGGAAGACTACCATTATTGGTGATAATGAGCCACCTTATCAAAATATAAGAAATAAATAAATTAATTAATTCTTTAAAGGCATCGTTTAACAATGTTAAATCTGAGATTCACGGTCCTACGCCATACCTGTGTATGTTATATGGTGTAATATTGAGGCCCTAACAAAACCACGCTTCAAAATGATCAAGAAGTGCCTCAAAAAATAAAAAAAATCGTTTTGCCCGGTAGACTGTAGTGTTATGAAAACCGTTTGGCAAACGCAAAATTTGGTTTCGATTTCCAATCATAAATATCTTGATAATCAGACAGGCGATCGGCTTTTAAAAGTCATGGGGCTCCTGACTGACCTAAAGGTTTATGATTATCATCGCAGAATGAGCTTAATTCAGGATTTTGTTTCAGAATCTGAGACAAAGTTACCTGATCCCTTTATCTTCTATAGAGGAGCGACGCAATATAACGAACTACCAGAATACATCCGAAATGTAACTACATTGAGATCCTTCCATACCCTAATAACTGACAACTGACAACACACTTCCTTAAACTCAAATTATTTGTTGTATAACCTTGCGTATGTGTGTGTGTGTGTGTGTGTGTGTGTATGTGTGTGTGTGGGTGGGTGTACACGTATGATATTATTTTTGAACTTTTTGTTACTTTGTAACTTTGTAAAGCGCCTAGGAACATTGTAATAAGCGCTATAGAAATATAATGTATTCTTACTTTGGTATTTTAAAACAACTTGTATTTATGTTTTGTTTCTATTCTGCTTTATGTCGCTTTTATGTTAACATTGAAGTGTAAGGACCCCAAGGAAGTACAGTAGTGTTCTATATACACTGCTGGATTGGGCTTTCCACCGATTTTTGTAGATTTACATGTATAAATATTTCATTTTGTATAATTATGTTATTATGTATAATATTTGTATCTGATTTCGGAAATAAAAACAACAACAACAACAAAGTCAGAGAAATCTGACCAAAACAAATTGGATGCAAAAAAAGCTATATATTTCTCATAAAGGAAGTTATATCAGGGTCTGCTACTTTTAAAGTTGACAATCTTATAACTTTGATAGTATCTTACATAATTATGAATATGGCTTTTCTAGTTTAAGCATACATGAACGTAATGAGGAATTCCAAGAATGTTGTAATCGCCACTTTTACATTCAAGTTTATAGTTGTCTGGAAAGCTAACAGTCTGCAGGAATATACTTTGATTTGACACTTTACTACCATTCCTTAAGCCTTGAGCAGAGCCTAGCTCTGTCAGTCTCTGATTGTGTCATGGGGGCTCTAATCGTGGGCCTACTGATCCATGCTCTAATATTTATATCGAAGGATTGCACGTTTCGCGATAAGGCTTTGTTTGTAATCGCGTTACTCGTATATCGAATAGATTTCTACATTCTTCAAAATTATTAAATTGATACTGCAAATACTTTTGTCAATTCAAGAAACAACCAAACTGTTAAGGAAGAAAGAAAACAAAATGTGTATATACTGCTCTATTATATTCCGATTGCTAGTATACTCTTGTACAAGAGACTTTTGTGAAACGCATCTAACGCTTATGCCCATCCCTATTCAATGTCGATATGAATACTGTGTTAAGACTTAGAGTATTAGTTTTTGTTGTTGTTTGTTTTAAAAGAAATCGGTTTTACATTTTGGTTTTCTTAGAGGAATCATAATGAAATCGCTTGATGTTGGTTGTGAGTTGTCGTTTACAAGTTTTCATCTATACAATGATTTACAGAACATTCGTTCTCATCAGTAATCCCTGTAATTGAGGATGTATACTTTCATATTACTTAAAGGTAATACAAAGTTTTGGAAATTGTTGAAAATTGCCTGGATAGTAATTCTTTACAATTTTAATTTATGTGGATGCCCCTGTAGATGAAATGTTAGCCCCTAAAACACTTGTGCTTTCGAGAGAAATATCAATTAGCGCCTACGGCCATACAATAGTAGCTGCGACCATGAAAATCCCAGAATGTGTAGTCCTGAAATATAATTTCCAAACGGGAAAAGCAAATTGGTCGGTTTCAGTCAGGATACATTGTTGTATAGCTAAATTAATATCATGACCTTGAGAGAGAGCTACACTGTAAAAAAAAGAATTTGTTCATTGGTAATTTTTACGTATTTTTTCCATGTAGAATTTACTTGAAAACATTAGTTTTGCCACTTACGTACTAAATTTAAGTCTTGCTAACTCAAACTTTCAATTTAGTAGAACATACGTGGAATATTTAAGTAATATCAAATACATAACAACTTTAAGTAATTTCAGCTTGTATTAATTTAGTAATTTTAACTCAAAATCAGAAATTATACGTATTACTCAAACAATTTATGTTAATTATTCTTATCTTTTTAAAGTAAGGACCGATGCAGTTCGTAATAGAAATATTTACATAATTTATGAATATTCATTAAGACCAAATTAAACTCTTTTTTAAATAAAACAATTCTTTTTTGTGGTTGAATGAAAATTTAAGGACTTTAAAACATTTACTAATTCATTTAACATGGCTAAGCAAAGACAAGACAATTTTTAATTGTTACCCAGTTCAAAACAAATAAAAACTTGATATTTCAGGAAATTGTCAACCAATTTTCCTTTAAAGATGCTACAATCAAATATATATAAAATTTGGAGCCTTTCAATGTGTGTCGAATTGAAGCGTATGTAATAGTTTGTGATAGTGGTAGATATATATATATATATACGGTTAAATCTTAAATAGAAGTAGTGTTAGTGATTAGTGATTAATCTTAAATAGTAGTGAATGATTAGTGGATGTTACTTGTTAGATTAGATGGGTACCAAATCGTGCAATATGTATTCCTATCATAGCTTTTTTTTTAATTATCTATAATGATTACAATACTTAAATTATTTACGTTAATGTAACTCGATTTAACTGAGTAAAAATTTATTCAGCAAAATAAGTAAATTCTACTTAAGATGCCGTAGGTAATATTTACTTAATAAAAATAAGGCAATTATTTTCCTTAATTTTATTGAGTTATTTCGACTATTATTTTTTTACAGTGTATACAACATAAAGAGCTTATTATTTACAAAATCATCACTTTAGAGTCGATTTCAACCGCGACAACGATCACTGAATATTGTAGGATCGCATATGCTTCCAATATGTTCATTTGAACCAAATTCATGACCCTATACCAGAACTTTGTATTACCTTCAAAGAAATGCTTGTAAATTGTATTATGCTTCGTTAATTTTGGAAGAATTATTAATAAAAGCAACCAGTCAGGCAATCGTGTTTCTCTTGTGTTTCTGGGAAAGGCGCTGTTATTACAATTCCAACCATTATTATCATTATTATTACACACAAATGACAAAGCAGCCGTCCCCTTGCCCGGATGTTGGTAACGTCAAGGGGTTAAGCGAATGATGCCCACACCCAGGCCTTCCGAGTTATATTGAGATCACAATTCCGAACTTGAAATATCAGTTGAGTTCTCTTGGTGAGGAGGTCAACTTACAAATAGTGCGTAACCCACTGAACTCTACACTATAATTATGTAGTTTAGTGGAACGAACAGAGCAGTGAGTTACTGAAACATACTGCTACAGCTGACCTGGGATGGCGCTATAGGAAGTGCTATGATAGTAAGCTAGCTTTATAACATCTACTTGTGTAATACATCTTATGATAATGTGCTAAACAGAGGAAAAAACAATATAAGCATGATAAATGGCGATATTATCTAGGCTTCTTAAATATATATGTGATCAATACTCTTGGGAGTTCTAAGAATTTGTTGTACCCATTTGTTGACGTGTTTATACATTTCGTTTTGAACATAAAGTTAGAACTAATTGTTAATCATACCCTTTATACAAGTGTAGTCTTTTTTGAAAGACTTTTTAAGAAATTTATTTGTCCCTATTTATGTTTCCTGAGAATTTGACGAATTAAAGATTAAAAGTTCAAGCGGTCCACTTTCATTCTTGAGTTACAACAAACACAAACTAATCACATTTACAAGGTGCAAGAACAATTCAGCTGTTAACAATATGTATCAGTGTTATCCATGTCAATTCAGATGCATGGCTAATAGTGTACCAAAAGATTGAATAAATCATCTCGAGATCGCAGTAGTATCAATGGATGAGCGATGCGAAGATCGTTCCTTCTTGTAGGTGTGTTTTCCCTCACTTCTGATCCAGTGGTCTGGGAACAAATCCTACAAGAAAATGAGTTGTGATTAAAATACAGAATCATAATTAGTGTAGCACTTCAAAACGCAATGTCATAATTATTGTGATATTATGTTGCTTGACATTGTTTAGAGGTAGAATCAGGATGAAAATTTGTAATGGATGTCCAAATTTATCTTTTCTCATCAGCAGAAGGAATCTCCGCCCCTCCCCCTTACACACACATACACACACACACACACAAACACACACACACACACACACACACACACACACACTTAATCGTATTGTCTCGTGTTGTACCAATATTCATATCCAACTCTGGGTTTAAGTTTTTGTTCAAAATGGCGTTTAAGAAATTAATTCAGTCTCAGGTACATGTTTCCCTCTTGGTAAAAGTGAATTTAGATCCAGATTCAGGTATGTAACTTGACATTAAAACCCATATGGCATGATGATCCACATCATCTAACGCCACATTAGTCATGTCCATGTTCTTCATCTTCAGTAGTCTTACCTGTCATGATCTCGTGGGCAAAGTCTTCATATCCAGCTCTTAAGAGTCGATCACTCAAATCCCGGCGTTTGTCTTGCTTGAGTGGGTTTTTCCTCAATTTTTCTTCCCAAGCTTCAAAGATGGATGAGAGCGAAGATGTCTTCTTTACACCAAGTACCTCGGCAATGCGGCATGATATGTCATTTTGGATAATATCCCTTCTTCGCATCCGAGTGCTTTCGTGCTCGTTCTCCTGGCAATCGCCTTAAAATTAAAGGCAATTATTCCGTCATCATTTCGATTAAAATCTCAATCTGAAGAAATTGTGCTTGACGTCTTCATACGTCGTATCAACTTAGTTTATGAGACAAGTTTCGGCAATAACCTTGAGGCCTCCTGCATACACTCAAAAAGGAAACAGGTCTGACCAGGGCCTCCGTTCCATAAACTTAACTTCGCCATTAAGTGTTACTTCCATGGAAACCTTGATTTGATTCGCTTTTGAGTGATGTTGCCATGGTACTTAAAGTGATATTTAAAATCAGTGCAAAATTGTATACAACGGGGCATAGGTAAATGCAAGATATCAATTTCTGGGAATGAGACTATAACGTTTAATACATTTATTATAAACATTTCAAAGGCAATATAGCAGGGTTATTGAAATTACCCTTAAATTGCTTTGAACAAAGTCCTTGCGATCATCATGATAGTTATGTCATTTGAAATGGATTCCTTATCTTTTGTAATGTTCCAAAACTTTTCATTTTTAGCGCTCCAAAATAGTCGATATTTATATTCTTTTTTTATATTTAAGTGTTTTTTTAGTTTATGGGTTTCAACGCTATTACTTTTCTACACTGTTATACGGATGTCTTAGTAGGCCATAATTGAACACCCCTTACAGTTCGGCAGTACATTCTCACCCCTCTTAAGTTCTGTTGATAATCCCTTGAAACCCGCTACACTCAGCTTCTCGTAGACGTCCTCAGGAAGCGAATCATTCTTCACCTGGTCCTCCAGGGTGATAAGAAGCTTTGTCATGGGATCATCGTCAACGGATGGGAGAAGGACGTTGATGATTTCAGCAACACGGCATGTCTCTCTGAACAGAATTCCCTCTCGGAGAGCCCTGATGACTTTCTCACTATGAATCCCACTTTGCCTCGATGTTCCTGTAGAATGTAATTAAGAAGTGGGAAAGTGAACATGGATTATTGTCGTTGCCCTTCTTCCCAGTTTGCACAAGAAAGAATGTAAGTAACAATCGAGACAAGCTGCGTCTTTAAGTTATCTGATATTATACTATTGACCTCGGTCATTGGCCGTAAAGATCCATATAGCATATTGTTTTGCAATACAAAACAAACTTTCATATAACATATAATCTTAAAATAAAAAATCTTGTTCCGTTTCCCATGTAATAAGAACATTATTTTCAGAATGTTATTTTGTTTGTGATGATATACATTTGCGATTATTGTAATGTGTATGTCATATTTCAATATGTACATGTACAATGATTGTAAAACCAGTGAAAAAAGGAATTTCCTGAATGGACAAAAAAATTCAATTCAATTCAATTCAATTCAGTACTTAAACAATAGCGACGTTCTTTCAAATGATTGTCAACATGAAGAATCAAGCGGGAAAACTGTTTCAAATTGACTCTCTTTCGGAAATAATTCTTCATAAGTGGCCAATAGGATTTTTAATATCTCTTTCTAACTTGCAGGAATCAATAGAAATTTCCATTTGATTTGGTCTTGCTATTCGTGGACATTTGTGTACCTGACAGGACAGACAAGGCCTTCTCTTTCCCAAGAACGGGGAGAACAGCATCGGCCAGGGTGGTTCTGGGATTGTAGGTTGGAGGATGGGCCATAGATTTCCAGTGTTTGAGCATGCCAACGATGTCGTCATCGTCCGTGGCTATTCCCAGGTTGTGTCGCAATTCATCACGCTGGGAGGAGTTTGGTACTGGTCCATACCCCAAGGCGAACATGTCGGCTAGAGATATTGCACATCCTGCAGAAAGAAAGAAATGTGGCATCATGATTACGATTTGATAATCACTACTCAGTATGAATGTCTTTATGCTGTATTTCTATCTTATATCCCAAACCTCTGCTTTCCGATCGTCAAAAGTGTGATGGAAATTACACTCACCAATCAACGCGCACACACACGCAAACATACAGACGCACACACACGGACAGAGCACACATAAAGCACACGCACAACAACTCACTCACGCACCCATGCTACACAGTGGCGTGAAGTTTGGCTCAATGTGGAAATGTGGAGAGCAGTCCTTGTTAAAGGAAATTCCTATCACTGTATTCTTCTAAACTAACCTAAAAAAATAGCAAGAATTTTCACCAAAAAATATCCCCTCTTTACCATAACTAAACCTTCTCTTAGAATTTAGAATTAGAATTTTATTGACTCTTTGACCCCCTCTCGGGGTATGAGAGTACAAACAAACATAAAAGTATAAATAACAATGCATGACTTATGAATACAATTCACATACATTATACATAGATAATGACACAAAGATAAAAACGATAATAGGTATATAGTGTATGAAAGTACAAACATGAACAATGAACCAACTAGTAAACACAAATTATATATACATGTACAGGTACATGTACAATGAATGAAGATAGTGACAAACTGACAATAATAAAAGGATAAGTATAATGCAGTCTATTTACAAGCTAAATAGTAAACAAAGTAGGCTGTTTCACTATCCTACCGCTACGAGTACGTGTAGGTTCAGCTCTAATTGTACTTCTTGAACTGCTTGAACTATCTTCTTTCTCTGTTTTTTGATTAAATTTCAACATAATAAGGCGGGTAAATCTCGCTAAATTCTTCAACTGAGAAGTGCTTCTAGTATTAAAAAGTTCTGCCATGTGCATAGCACTTGGGAGCTTAGACTTACAACACTTTTTTGATAAATATAAAAATCTCTCTCTTTGAAAAAACGGACAAACAAAAATATAGTGAAATTCATCTCCTATATCAGTGGACAGGCAGAGTGTGCACTGCATATCACAATGTGGTGTGTTCGCATCAAACCGACCTTTGTTTACAGGTAATTTATGTGATCTACACCGAAACTTACAGAGAGTAAAAGCATCAGTTTTATTTAGGGTGAGTAAATAGCTTTCAAATATATGGTTGCCTTTAAATATCCTATAATTTGTGCAAATGCGATTTGACCATACTGCATCTCTCCATTCCTGACCAAAAATATCATTTAGTCTCAGTTTTAGCAAAGAATTAATATTTAAGCCAAAACCACTATTTTGGCCTGGCCAAATATTGGATAGACCAGCTTGATTAAATGTGTCTTCAATAAATTTTAACCATGAGGAAGTAAATTCCAAATGTTCATCTTTATGAATGGCAGAAATGAATTTTAAAAGGACATATGAATATTTGCTATCTTTACCTCTGCTATTTTTACCAACCAAAAATTAACCATTCTACCCTTCACATGATTCAAAATCAAACCTCGTCCAGTTTCTCCATAAACCATACAGTCTGGAGTATATGAACCTACAGATAATAATGTTCTGAGGAATTTCCTATGGAAAACTTCAATCTGCTTTATATCTTCATGTCCCCAGACTTCACTACCATACAATAAGATGTGCAAAATCAAATGGTCAAACAAATGACATTGAATATCAACTGACAACTGCAATTTCTTCGCTTTAGTCAACATACTGTATAACGCTTTTCTAGCCTGCACTATCTGCTTGGCCATTGCCTTTTTGAAAGTACCATTATAATTAAACAGTACTCCGAGATAAGCAAAATCATATACCACATCTATTTTTGCATGACCATACGTAAAATTTGGTATCTTCCTAACTTTTCCTCTGGAAAAAATCATTATTTTAGTTTTACTCGCATTGACTGTTAGGTGCCATGTATTACAATATCCTTGAACTGCATTCAGCGCTACTTGTAATTCGTCAGGGCTTTCTGCCAAAATGATCGTGTCATCAGCGTACAATAAACAAGACAACTTTGAAAAAAGCTCTAATTCGTCACCCTGTAAGGTATTTTGTATTTCTTCATTTAACATTTTCAAGCCAGGATAAATTTTGGCAATATGCTCTTGAAAGTCATTTAAATAAACAGCAAACAGCAATGGCGAAAGGTTTTCACCTTACCTAACTCCTACGTTACACGAGAAAAATTCAGACATTGCGCCGTTGACAGAAATACAGGACTTCGCACATTTGTACAAGCTTTTAACAATATTTAGGACTTTGCCATTTACACCTATTTTTAACAATTTAAACCACAAAAACTTTCTATCAATTAAATCAAACGCTTTTTTATAATCTATAAAAGCACAATATAAGCGTTTCCTTTTCTGTAGGTAAAAATCGATAATAGTCTTCAAAACAAACACATGATCAATGGTTGAATATGTTGAACGAAACCCAGCTTGTTCCTCACCTAACATACGATTACTATCAAGAAAGCTAGAAATTCTTTTATTCAAGACTGAGGTAAACAGTTTACCAAGGCAACTTAACAAGGTAATTCCACGATAATTATCTGGATTTGTGTTTTCACCTTTATTCTTAAAAATTGGGATAATCACTCCTATACACCATTCAGAGGGAACGATTTCACTATCTAAAACAATATTAAACAAATCAACAATAACCCTACGCATTTCTAAGGGGCAACTTTTCAAAAATTCATTTCTGATCAAATCTTTACCGCAAGCTTTGGCATTTTTCAATTAATTAACCATTAATTCAACCTCTTCTAATGTGATAGGTTCATTCAAACCATCATTTTGTATCGTCACATTATCAGCATCCAAAGGCATCCTTTCCTCTTGAAACTGCTAAACGATTACGAGCCGCACTACTCACCGTACTTCAGCAACAATGCAAGATCATCGTAGTCAGCTTTGGACAGTGAACTGCTGATTTTACTTCTGTCATTATTTATCTTGTTGCTATCCTTTGCTAAAAGAGCAAGTGTTCCATTAGAGAGCTGTTTAGGTGTGACATCCATCCTGTACTTGATGAGTTTCTGATCGGATATTCCCAGAGCTTTGGCGAACGGTTGGATGTCGGTCATGAGAAGACGAACAGCAACGTCAAGTACTTCAACCAGACATAACTTGTCTTTTATTTGGAATGGCATCAGTGCTGTTAAGAATAAAATTAAAAAATGCAACATCGACTTAACCTCTATAATACATCCATTTTTTTAATTTTACACGATTTTACAAAATGGATATGGAGCTTTATAAATTCCCATTATTATTATCATTAAAAGGGTGAATAATTTGTAAGACCCAGTATAATGCCTTGTAAAGAATCGTAACTTAATACGAAAGCTTTAATTTCAACTCCTTTCGCACATGGCCTTTTTTAACTTGATTTGTATTTCAAAAATGCTTCACATCAAATGCCTTGAATTAATGGTATTTTAGTAAAATAAGAACAAATAATTATTTACAGGAAGATTACACCGATACACAACTTCAGATCCTCTTAAAATGATGATATAACCACATTGATATCACAAAAACGAAAAACGAGGCGAAATATAATCATTACCTTGAAGGCCGATTTCTTTCAGTGTTCCATGTACCCTTTTCCGACAGCCTCCGTTAAGATTCTTCTCGAGCAAGCTGTTGACCCATTCTATCACCACCTTCACCGGGTCCGACCCTTCACCCAGGTGCTTTAATTCAGAGTCTGTGAGATAGTTGGCTATTCGACGAGTTTCCAGTTCAGAAATTCCACCATATTCTATATGAGAATACGTGAAAAGGGCATAAAAATGGGAGAATAATTAATCGCAAATGTATGTACCTAATTATTATGACCTTATTAAGAGTCAGATGTACTTTATACAGGCTTCCAGTGAATATATGTTTGAAAATCATCCGGATTTTACAAAATAACGGTGAGTTGTGGGAGCTCTAACCATTTTTAATAGGATTTGTGTACCTGTCTTATGTTTACATTAGAATATGAAGGGTTTTAACAAGGGCTGAAACGCCAATTGTTTGTTTGAAATAGTCTTCTATATTTTTAAAGATCCGAAGTGGTATTAAAGTGCACTAATCACCAAAACAGGGTAAAATGTATTTTTCTTTTTAGAAAGTTTTTTCAGAAAGGTAAACGCTGTCAAAATTATACACCTTCTACATTTTCGGCGTGTTTTTCTTTTGTTAATATTTGTTGGTATTTTTCAGGTTGTTTAAAGCATGTATTTCAGTAAATTAACATTTATAATTATATTTACCTCGTGATACTTCGTTTGAATCCTTTCGAGCCCGTTCTTCATTTGCCTCTTTTGAAGTATAGAGGTCCGTTGCTCCAAAATAACCTTTCAAAATCAATTCGGTTCAAATAAAATATATTTAAAAACAAGAACCTTATTTGTTTATTAATACAACTATTTTTATTTTAGATGACACATGCAAAAAGAAAAATAAACTATTATGCAAGTGACTTGATGCTGTCTGTTGGTGTTGTTTAAAGCTTATAACATGAAGGGAGCTTTTCATGTAAGATGGACATAAAGAACAAAGCCATCATTTGCTTTTAACTGCTGAATCAAGTAATTCAACACTTAGGCAATTTAGGTTCCATCGCCTATTTTTTTTCCACCAGCTATGCCTACTCCATTGGGATATTATATTATGTTCATCTGTGTACGATATAATTTGCCACATTTTAAAAATGAATGATTCTCGGATCAAAACGAAACAAAAACATCCGAACGACTCTGTTACCTTCCAAATCCTCACGGCAAACCTTTGTCACCGAGACATTAAGCCTGTGTCTCTTCTCAAAGTTGCTGCATTCCTCGTTACTTATCCAGTCACGAATCATTCCCTGTGTGTCGAATACGGTTGCCTTGTCATTCTCCACCAGAATAGCACTAAGCGCCTCCGTGGGCGTTCCAATGGATTCAGCCAGCTTGTTACAGTGTTTGCCTGCCAGTCGCTGGATGAATCCAATAACTTCATAATCGCCGATTTCTTCCAGCAAACCCTCAGGTACTGCAAAAGAAACAGTGTACTGAACATTGCACAAGGAAAGACTATGCAGTAACGAGTATTACATGTACAATTAAAAAACATGGTCCAATAATGGATGATAAGTCAAACATCTTCAATTTCATTGCAGTTATCTTCAATTGTATTTCATTCATAGATCACATCAGTATATTTATGCGTATTATACATGAAGAAGCGTGGGGTGCCAAGCAACACTCGAAAAAGCAGGGGCGTGGGATTGGTTGGTCGATCCATAACATGAGTGACAATATTAGCGATGAAGAAAATCGAACTGCAAATGATGAAATCATACGAAAATAATGATAGAGATTTGCGAATTTTAAATTCGAATGCCTTTTCCAACACCAATTGAAATGTGCCAACATAATAGAGATATTACGTATTCCTATAAATATTATTTTTACATAGCAGTTAATAGGGTATTGGGATTACACCTAACTTGATTTTTCGATGCTAAATGCGCTCGTGCTACATATTGTCAACAACTAGATTATTCATACCCTTACTAAGTTTGGTAATCTTGTATGTATGTGAGGAAAGAAATGATTTGTCTCGATTTATGTTCATTGAGAATGTGATATTATAAAGCTTACATTTAAAACTAATTTAACCAGTCCACGGTTCATTCTTGAGTTACAAATAACAAATCACAAGGGATATGAATGATTTAGGTGTAAACTGTATGATAGGGGCAAAGTATTGTCTGCATAGTCTTGCCCTGATAAAGCAATGCCATTTCGTGTTGCTCTAGGATGCATATCCACATCATTTCACATACGCCCAACAAGAAGGTGATTGAGATAATGGAGAGTTATTATGTAGGGGAACATGATCAACTCATCTCAATCGTGAAAACAGGTAGCTACAGTGGTTTGAGCACGTTACTAGATGGAAGAATAGCTTGGCTAACACTATCGTGCAAGGAGGAACTGATGGAAGAAAAAAGAGGGGTAGACCAATTAGGACAAGGACTGTAGCCAAAAACATGACGGGCATGTCATTTGAGCAGCTGACTAGAACAGCTGAAGACAGGAAGTTATAAATACCTGCGTCTCAAGGTCCATTTCCTTGTCGCCACAACGGTCGGCCTCCAAGCTATGGGACAGAGATATATGATACATAATGTAAAATGTAAAATAATTCCTACCGGTAAAGAAATCTCTGTCGATAGGGCAGCAGAAAGTTCTCTCCAGGGATAGGCTTAACAAGACCATTGGGTTATGTTGAGGCGGTCCCTTACACCATTGGATGAGGTCTCTCAAGGCTTCTGCGACGATGTCCTTCATTTTTCCTGCAACGCTTATTCTTTGTCCTGGTATCAGATCGCCTAAGAACTTATCTATCCTGTCAGGGTCTCCAACTTGCCACAAGATGTGTTTTAGTGTGTCTTCAGAAGGCTGTGAGTCCGTACGGTGTCTTTGATCTGCATAGATAGTGTATGTCAATATTGCTATATTTTCATTTTTCGTTAAATTTTCTTGTCGGATTACCACTCATGTTTTGCAATAAGACTCAAATAAAAAATAGGGGCTAAAACCAACGCACTAAAAAATAAAAATATGGAACAAATTTTCATTAATTTTGCAAGGTGTGTCATAATTACAACATAATTCTTAGAGCATATGTCAACTATAGAAATGTCATTAGCCATGAAGTAGGTCCACATGTTATTAAGAAATTCGTTCTAAAGATGAATAGTGGTCATTCAAGATCTATACGTCTATTGTTTCGCTAAACAGACAGATGGAAAGTGGTCATTCAAGATCTATACGTCTATTGTTTCGCTAAACAGACAGAATTTTACCGGTCTTAGAGTCCATTGTCTATGGATTTTGTATGTAAATGTGAAACAAAAATGGTGATATAATGATGAATTATCAATTTTGGGTGAAAATAGAAAATATATTTCGATAAAATCAAAGGGGAAAGCAGTAGCGTTGTGGCGTTGTGGCGTGCACCTGTAATCCAGCTAAAAGTGGACGTTACAAACTGATTCAGCCGAGGACGCAGGTTCGAAACTGAGTCACGTCTTTCGGATGGTGACGTTTAAAGGTCAATCCCCAGACGTAAATAATTATATCTGATTGATACACGTCTGTAAAAACCAATACACACACACACACACACACACACACACGTAGCAGTTCTAGAAAAATTCTGGGAAGGGGGGTGAGGACTTGGCGAGGGGTTTGGGGTTCTTGCATTCATTTTCTTCATGTACCTTGCGACTTTTTGTGAGGGGCTTGATTCCCCCCCCCCCCTCTCTCTCTCTCTCTACGCTAGAATCGCTAGGGAAAAAAGTTGCGTACCATATATCTCCTTCCACGCTCCATCAAAACCCGCTTTTGCTAGGGCTCGTTTAAGATCCATTGCTTGGCTGTCCTGCTTGTGGTGATCCTTCCAATCACAGAGAACGTCGTAACACTGCGCTGCATTCAGACCATCTTCGACATCACTGATGCCTAAATGGCGGATTGTGTCACGTATGTTTTCCAATCTATCATCGTTATCCTTGCCGAAAATCAGGGACCACAGCTCATAGAACGATATATTTCCTGTGACAAACAAAAGGAATGCATCAAAACTGTACCAGAGGAAAGTCTGGTTTTGTACGTTTGCATAACTTTGTTCAATGATATGCTCATTATATCCGGCTGTTATGCCATAATAGGCAACACATGACGCTGTAGAATATGTTAGCAGGTTGCATTAAAAAGAAGATCTACATGACAAACTTTTAATTGCCATAGAATTGTTTAGGTAACCTAGGCTGATAAATGTCTGACCATGGTAAGAAATAGTGAGCCTTGGTCAAGAGTAACAATTGCAGACTTATAGACTAACTTAGTACGTGCTATCAGAATAAGACCCTATAAGTTTTGTTTTGGTAAACGTGCACTGTACGGGGATTCTAACCTTGGATATCAATGCTGTTATAAACAATGACCCACCACAGCACGATGTTATCTATTTCATAGGGAAACATGAATGTGCGTTTTACCTTCGATCCTTGTTGGAGGCCCAACTTCTCCCTTCTCCACGTCACCTGTTCGTGGATAACCAAAATTAAGAACATTTATTTCTTGTATACAGCATGAGTCATAAAAATGAAATTATCTTTGCAATCATTACATAAAAATTTAATCGAAGATGCTTTTATTTACTTAAAACTGACATCTTATTTGTGAAATCCGGCCACGGAGAGCTAAAAAAAAAGTAGCAATGATATTGATTTATATTGATCTATATTGATCTATGTGTTATACGGACCTCTGCTCTTGCAGCTGAGTCTGGAATAAAGTCTTGAATTGAATTATATGAAATTCGTGGTCACCGTAAGGTTTGGTTGAATAATCCTCATTCCAAATTGTTTTCAAACGCACAATATTAACGCCACTCCTGAACATAATCACGACCAATCATCGCGAACTTGGACAAATGCGATTATTGCCAGCTTTATAAAAAATGGCCATCGCTCAGTCATTCTTCTTCTTCTTCTTCTTCAAGATAATCTGCCTCCTTCAATACTGAAGATTCTTGCAGATGCCGTATACTCGGCCTGATTGGGGTGTGCAGATGGACCATTACACCGGGGTTTCTCCCTTTTCTTATACGAATAGAGCAATGGGTTCTTAACGTGCAATGGTGGTGACTCTCCTGTACACGGGGCCTCCATTTAATGTCCTATCCGAGGGACGGAGTGTTTTCCACTTGACATAACCTGCGTCTATGAACAAGGGAAGGGGCACGTTAACACACAACGCAGACTTCAGTCATTAGCCTGGATGGGAGTCGAACCCGGGATCTTTGGTTCGACAGGCAGACGCTTTACGGACTGAGCCAACTCGCCTCCTTGAACATTTTTGATGAGCAATCAATCCAATCAAATTACCAACAATCATTTCTGCAATTCACGTTTTAGCGTTGATTTCTTTCTCGTAGTATATCATCATTTTGCAACATTTCACTTATGGTTTTGGTGAATCACGAATCCCCTTATTTCGCACTTTCATTTTAACATACCTTAGGAAGTGTGACAGGATATAAATCTTATCTCAAAGTATGTACACTGTCACTCATAAAGGTGGAATATTTTTGTTTTACCCCAATTTATGGAATTATTTTAAAAATAATTTAAAAATAATAGATCTAGATAAAAGTATACATTCTCAGATTTTATTGAATAATAATTTGAAATGTGTGTTTTGCGTGACTGCTAAAGCATGTGTATGCTTCTATGCTTATCAAATAGGGGACCTACGCCCTTAAGTCATAAATGACAGTAATGAGGATTAATGCCCCACAAAAGGGCACTAATATAGCACATCGACACGGTTTTGATCCTGGGGCCTCACAGTTACGAGGCCATTGATTTGTCACTGAACAATGACTGTACGCAGCGGGGGCTAGGGTAAGGGGCAGTTGCCCATGCCTTGAGCCATAATACATGGCCATCCAGAGGATTTGTTTATGTTGGGGACCGGGGTAAAATGTAATAAATTATTGAACATTTATTGCATTTTCTGTGTTTTTTTTTAATTTATGGAAACTGCCCCCTACCCCAGCCCCCGCTGCGTACAGTCATGGTTCAGCGACAAAGCAATGGCCTCGTAACTGTGAGGCCCCAGGATCAAAACCGTGTCGATGTGCTATATTAGTGCCCTTTTGTGGGGCATCAATCCTTATTACTGTCATTTATGACTTGAGGGCGTAGGTCCCCTATTTGATAAGCATAGTAGCATACACATGCTTTAACAGTCACGCAAAACACACATTGTCAAATTATTATTCCATAAAATCTTAGAATGTATACTCTTATCTAGATCTATTATTTTTTAATTATTTTTAGAGTAATTCCATAAATTGGGGTAAAACAAAAATACTCCACCTTTATGAGCGAAAGTGTAAATGTAATAAAAGGAAAAACTAAGTTTTGACAATTTGGCCCAAAATGGATTCGCCGGTTCATAGGAACACCGCCGAGTTGTTACACGTATTTTATATTACTGCACATAGTAAACTGGAAATAAACGGTAGAGATGAAACAAAAACTTGATAGTTACTTTTCCTTGCAAGCTTTTTCCGTCGAAGTATAGCCACTAAAAACACCAGTACAGCCACAAACAGTAAGAAGAGGGATGGGGGTGCCGCTAAAATGAGAAAAGGTTAAACGAAATTGTTGCTTTAGAACATTTGTTAATTTGGTTACTGTGTTTCCTTTCTCTTTTGAGTCATGAGGATGACAGAGTGTTAACATAATTATGATAATGAATACTAAGAAACCATAATTGAAAGAAAAATACATTCAAAATATTCAGCGGAAAATACTAAAATACCAGGTACCTTACCAATAAATTTATACAAACAAATAAGGGAAATTAGTGATCAGTTTAGGTTAACTGCTGTCTTCCTTGATATAAACTTTTACTTTGATTAAACCATTCAATGATCTCAACTTCAAATAAACTTAAGTTTATAAAGATATTATTAACACGAAGGAGTGTTTCTACTTTAAAGGTAATACAAAGTTTTGGTAAGGGGTTATGAATTTGGTTTAAATAAACATATTGGAAGCATATGCGATCCTACAATATTCAGTGATCGTTATCGCGGTTGAAATCGAGTCTAAAGTTATGAAATTGTAAATAATAAACTCGTTATGTTGTATAGCTCCCTCTAAAGGTCAAGATGTTAATTAAGCTTTCAAAATGTTTCTTGACAAAAATCGACGAATTTAGCTATTCCCGTTTCACAATTATATATCACAACTACATATTTTGAAATTTTCATGGTCGCAGCTTCCATTTTACGGCCGTAGGCGCTATTTGAAATGTATCAAAATTTACCGGGAGCACCGGTAAAATGTTATATTCAATTTTTCTCGAAAGCAGAAGTGTTTTAGGGGCTAAATTTTCAAGTGCTTATGATACATCCACATGGGCATCCAAATATATCAAAATTGTTAAGAATCACTATCCACCCAATTTTCTAAATTTACCAAAACTTTGTATTACCTTTAATGAAATTATGATTAATTCAAAACAATAAATAACTAGAAATAGACCAACAAATGTATATATCATACCGATTTCAACGATTTGGACGTCTTTTTCTCTCTCTGAGGAGACAGTGGAGTGTGATCTCGTCAGTATATCATCTTTTACATTAATAACGACTAGTTTTGCGGTCCTATGCTCAAGAGTTCCTGGGATGTCGGATGCCACACAGACGTAAGACCATTCGCCCTCTTCAGCCTCAATGACGATCGATTTGTTCTTCGTTCCGTCATCATTGACCAGTTCATTGGTTCTTGATGTAGCCACGTTTTGGAAACCGCGGAGGAAGAAGAGATCAACGTCGGGGAAGTAGTTCGTTACAGAACAGGTGATTTCGATGGGGATGTGGGAGGTAATGTTGCAGAAGTCGTTAGGGTTGGCGAGCGCCATCTCTTGACATTCGTTGATGACAGGGTAAGGTTCATTCGGCGGTGCTAAGAGAAAGAGAGAGACAGAGAGAGAGAGAGAGAGAGAGAGATTGGAAAAAGCTAACTGAGTTTATACGACACTGCTGAAAACAAAGATAAATTAAGGTTTTAGGATTACAGGTGCAGTTGGGTTGAAAAGCATCATGTCCTGACATTCGTGGATGACAACAATAATATGTTCGAGGACAAGGCCATGCTAGAATCCTAAACGTAAACTAATTATCCAGAACTTTAGTGTAGTGAGTGGATTGTGAGATAACTTGCTCCTAGCTGCTCCGCGATAATTTCCCACACTAGTCGATTTCTTAATTTCAACCCTGGACCTGATACTTATATACCAGCCATTTCGTATCAAGCCTACATACTTACCAAATATCACAACGTCAGTGAAGTTATGAATCAGGATCCCCAGGTAGTTTGAAACTCGACATATGTATCTCCCTTGATCTCTAATCTCAGCTTTCTTGATTGTGAGAGAATAATCATCTCCCATCTTACATGCCCCGTCAGGAACACATGACCCTGTGAGGGGTTCCCCTTCAACCCACGTGATCAGGTTGGGCGAGGTCGTGGGGTCATCTCCTTTCTTCCAGTAGACCGCGATGGGCGTTCCATAGAACTGACATGTTAGAACAACCTCCGCATCCTTTTGAACAGTCTTGTGCAGATCAGTGTAAACGACACCGTCTGGTACTTCTCCATTCGTTACTGCAGCAACAACAACAACAACAACAACAACAATGTTATTTATTTAGTCGTAGTCCCATCAGGGAGTAGAAATGGTTCACATTGTTTGTTTATGAATCCGATTAGATGGGTAATAAAATATGCAAAGTGCTCGGAAACGGTATTTCATATCAAATGCTATACCATTCCAAATGATGATTTATATTATTATTATATTAGTATTATTATTATGATTATTATTAGTTTTATTATTAATATTATTAGTATTGTTATAATAGTGTAAACTTATAGAGCGCACACACCGTCCAGGGACGCTCATGGCGCTAGCTCAGCAACAGTTCTCTTTGATACAAGTAAAGTAAATAATTTTGCAATATTTTTTGCAATATTTTGTTATAACCCATTTCAATCCTCAGCTCTGCCTGATGGGGCCCGGTGCCCTCCAGCTGCTCCGTTCACTGACAATTTAAGGGACTAGCCCAGTCAGCACATTATTCACAGAAGCTCTAGCATCTGAGGCCAACAGGCCCCACACAGGCAGCCAATGAGACTAAAGGGTGATAACTAATTAATTTCAAATGTATATACAAATAACATATCAATTATGGATTTAGTAAAATAAACTTATACAACTTAAGGAAATACTGGGTTACAGATGGAATAGGTAAGTCTTAAGACGAGTTTTAAAGGCAGAGTATGTTGCAATACAGCGAAGTGATGAGGGAAGCTTATTCCATAATTTGGCTGCTGCATGCGAAAAAGCATGGTCTCCCCATGAATGACGGGTACGGGGAATTTGCAGCAAATAATTATTATAATTATAATTGTTATTAGGATTATAATTGTTATAAGTATTATTATCATAGTATTTATTCAACGTATTTTTATTATTATTACTATTACCACGCAATCTTACATTTTAAAATCGCAGTGTAAGTATTACGACATATTACATGTGAACACTGCTCCCTTTGTCTATCTAGTAAGGTTAGTAAATATATTTATTGGAAATGTAATTAGAAAGAGGACTGAAGTTCTCGTTATATGGATGTACTAACCCACCAAACAAAGTATTTTACAAAACATCAGTAAGCTTAAATAAATCCTGAAATGATGAATGGAAAACTTGTATTTTGTAGTTGACGATGTTTGCAGTAGGCCCACTTATCAAAACAGGCCTTTATTGTATTTTGGGGAAATACCTAAAGACTCTGGCCCGAATTCACAAAGGAGGTTTGTCAACAAACCTTGGTCTGAGCTCAAACCTTGCTTCGTGAATTCGGGCCTATATGTATGGTAAGTACTTTTTGTTGAATAAAAAAAGTGTTGCTATATTTCATAGCGTTGAATTCTTATATTGTATTATAAATTAATAACTTCTTTTTTTGGGGGGGGGGGTCACATACATGAGCTGTCTAAATGATTGAGATATGCTCAGCAAAATATCGTTTAAGTTCTTCTAAATCCAGAAACTGGTAATGTCTGTTGGTACATGCTCATATTTAAAACTTAGTTGAAAATACACAATATATTGCCATTTAATGCAACCAGTATTTATGAACATAGCCTCAAACTAAGTCCTTTTGATAAACATTAATCTACAGTTGCCTCTCTCCATCCAGGTAGGGTAAATGAATGCCTGGCAGGAAAAAAATTACTTGAAATGCTACAGCGCCATAAAGGCAGCCATGCTAAAGGTTGAGTAGTAGTTGTGAAGCGCCAGGAGTTCCAAGACTGGCACATGAGAGTTATACGAGAACCCAGTATTATTTCTATCATTATTACCATAACAATTTAATTAATATCCCTACAGTAATGACTATGCAGTAGTCACATAAATCATTCAAACTATCAATGACATAAATATACATGTATAACTTTTCACTTGCAGTTCCAATAATTTCTACAACACATTCAACTATAGTGCCTCTTAGATATAAAAAAAAAAAAGGACCGCAATTGGAAACGGGTTCCTTGATGATGGCTGTGGTTTCCTATCTCACTTGAACCCGATAGATCATTAGCGGGCCACGGGGGTTACAAGTGGGGCAACTTTCTTTTTTTTTTGGGGGGGGGTAACAAAAAGATAGACGGTAGAGAGAGAGGTCGAAGAGGTCTGAAGGCCCCTTCCCTTCTGTTATTCTTCTTCTCTTCTGTTTTTGTTCTGGCTTGTCACACAATTTTCGGTCGTATGCCCCCCCCCCCCCCTCCCCCCCCCCCCCCAGCTAGAGAATACTGGATCCGTCGTTTCAAATGACACATACAATTAAATATTGTCTCATAAAGGCGAGTTGCCAGTGAAGACTTGGTATCAAATTATAATATAACATTTAAGATTAGCATGTTAGTAACTTACCCGATTCGGTCCACAGGATTATAAGAATGACGCCGACGAAAACCAATTGTATACTGCTCGTCGCCATAGTAGAATTATTCACGGCTCGGATTCGACTAGAGAAACAAAGGTTCTAGTGTCTATGTGCTGTGATACATGTATGTCATATAAAGCACAAGTTAATAACTCTATGCTTTTTTCAATAAAGCTAAACAATGCCTGTCATGTGACAACTAATAAATGCGTGAAAAATACCAAGCAATACAGGAAGTACTACAGTGTGGTTTATGTCGACAAAACTTTCGCTTTTGGTTATATCGGATGTGACATTGCTAGTTCAAAATACAATGGGTCGCCATGGAAGCATGTTAAAGAACGAATCTCTCTCTCTCTCTGTCCCTCTTTCTTGCTCTTGTCATTTTTTGTATTCTCCCCAAACTTTAGCACATGATGTTTCGTGATCAATTTTTCATACTACTAAAAGAACGTCATTTGAAATTGCCAGGGTCTACTGTAATATGCAGTATGTTGCATTATGAGGAATATTCGTTCTGCCAGGATCCATTTTCAACAAGCCAAAATAAAATCAGCTCTACTGTATTTGTAATTCTCTTTGGGATGAATTATGAAAATTGGGTACTGAAACTCGTATTCTAGGCATATGGTGATAATAGGCTTATTGTAAATTTTGAATTAGGCCAAAATTATTTATGTGGAAGCCACTTCATGTCGTCTCTATAATGGTCATCTGCTTTTAACTCTATTGGGAGGTGAAATAATAGGTTAAAGACTAAATCCTATCACTACTGTCTACTTGTCAATATTGCTTAGCCCTTAAAGGTAAAGACCAGTATTGGAAACACCCCAATTTAAAAAAATGAAATGGAAGCTCGCATTACCAATCATGTGAAAGAATATGTCTTGACTAATACATGATGATACAAAATTTGACGGAAAACCGCCTACTAATTGATATATTTGGTAAATTATTATATCTATTTGACTGTGAGAGATATAGGGTTGTCCCATATACATCTTTCTAGGTTTAGTGCTTGTAACTTTACGAAGAATGGGCCAAATTTCTTATCATTTTGATGATTCCAGAACCTTGCAGATGCTAGATGCTGGATGATCAACCTTTTCTGATCGATTCCACACCGTTTCTTTCACAATGCAATCGCTTGACCATAACTGGTCTTTACCTTTAATGCTGTGAGATCAATGTTGATGAGTTGGCGCCCTCTTTCGACTACGTAACTGTGCCTCTTCATAGATATGATTTGTAGATAAGCACATAAAGTTTAGAACCCACTAAGACAGAATAATCATAAAGTTAAGTATGCAGCTCGTGAATTGAATAATTCAATCATCAACCAACGGTGTGTTTTATGGTACGCGGTAGGAAGTATTCTTCCGAAAGTGTTTAACAAAAACTACTTACCTTTGTCATTGTGGCTTATTGACTTATTGACCATATTATCATATCCATATTGTCATGATGTACTTTGTAACGGAAATATAATAAATGTGAACAGATAAGGGAGCGCGTGTATGGGCGAGAGAGAGGGAAATGCCAACAACTAAACACAACACAAAAAATAAGTTCCCTCATGTTTGTTATGGGCGACTCCTCTTAATTTCTGAACCACAAGACTGTCTTTTGTCTAGTGTACATATAGACAGAAAAAACTACACACACGCGCGGAAAAGTGCAATTTAGGTCACAAAATAACCACGCTCTGTAACGAGTCCACGCTTGTGAAAGGAGGGGGACAATCGAGCAGCAAGACTTGTTATCGCGAATGTAGCTAGCTTGCTGGCAGACGGCAGTGCTCACACTGCATGGGTGTTATTGGGTGCGAATTAGGAAATCACCGTTGGTTTTCGTTCAACCGAGAGAGGGCGGTAGGCAGTTACAAGATTCAAACAAGTCATTCAACGGTTTCTGCCTCGAATAGGGTATAAGATGAGAGTTGTTTTAACACATGAATTCTTCCAAATGGGCCAAGTAAATAGAAACGTGTTGATTACAAATGACATCTTGGAGCCCAACAAACATTTTATGACCATAAATTACCAGTTTTTTTGTCAATACTTTTGTTTTACCAATACTCTACGTTTGCTTTAACAAGAGAAGGGTGATTTCCTTGTGATCCATCGCAATAGTATGCTTTATCTTAATAGTTCGACATGTGAACAAAAGGTACCGACTATATAAAAACATCGGAAGAATATATTCATGTATATATATATACTGTATATGCCGACTTATTTCACATTGAAATCATACAAATCAATATAACATTGATATTACACAAATAAGGTAACTACAAACATCAAATTTAACTTACATATATTACTCAAATTTTAAAATGTACTTCCAAAATTCCTTTTGGTAAGTCATCTTTTCGTTTTGTTTGTATACTTTCTTTCTGCTTTATTGTATTTCATTCTTTTCCTGATTTCTGTTTCAAACAAATGTTTCTATGCAGAATGTCTGACTTATCTTCTTCCAGTTTTGTTTGCGTTTTTTAATAACTTAATGTACACTCCAGAATGTTATGGTCAGACTGGCAATTACTTTCTATCTTTAGTGAGTGCTAAGATATATATTATAACACGCTGCATAGGTGACACAGTATATCCATTCTGTATACGGGATTTCATCCTATAAAATGACGGAACTCTTTTCTGAATAACTCGCTAAATCATGGTTGTAGGCCATTAAAAGTATATATATGATTGCGAAGGATAGTACATAAGGAATAATATAAGCACCAGTACAAAACAAATGGATAAAGTGTAATTTGACACCAATAACTGATTTTTTATGATTTTTAGTGTGTATGTGTAAGTGTTGATACATGAGTACATCATTGAGATCACCTCAATGAGATTCATTGTCCACATGCAAAAAAAATGTTGTCTTTCTTTATTTTTAATGATTTTTTTTAATGAGACAAAGGCATGCAATATTACCTCATTACGTATTCATGTATCAATAACTGATAAAATAATAACAGTTATCACATTTTCCCCAACTTGTTCATTAATAAAACATTCATCAATCAGCACAAAAAATCACCCCAATGAGAATCATTGTTCACATGTTATCCTTTAGACAGTAAAGGCGTTTCCCTAAAGACCATGAACTAATAAAAAATATTTTAAAAATAAAAAAAAGGCACATTTCACGCATTCAAATATACAAACTAACATCCAGAATGAAGATTGAGGCAACGTAATTTATTTGTGCAATTCTCAGAAATTAAGCATATATAGACTATCCCTACAGAGGGCAGCATGCCACAAATGGAAATCATAGCCCTTGCTCTTACCTTCGATACCAACACCATGAAAATATTATGAAAATAAACCAGTTATGATATTTTAAAGAAAGTTTGACAAATGCGAATAAGAAAGTTCATTCGAGGTCATTCAAGTTCATCAACAACGATAGAAAAGTTAAGTTATTTGAATTTCTGTTCCAAATTTTGGATTTTTAATCTTTGAAGAGTGCTTTTAATAATATGTAAAAACCAACATAATTATTTGTGCATCATATTTACATACATTTCACAAGATGAAATCCCTATTTATTAAGAGAATGTGCAAATAAAAAGAGGGGATTTATTCACATGGAACTTGTTAACCATTGCATAAAGAACATCGACAAGATCATAGAGCCATTCGGTGACATTTTACAATCTAAAAATATTGATAAAACATTAGCACAAATAGTGTAAACTAGACATTGCTTCATATTCTTAATAACACAAACATACACGCATTTTTAGATTAATCAATAAAGTTCCTAGAAGATATAAACCTTATTTTTTGATAATAAATGAAACTGTCACAATTATTTCATGAAAATAGGTACATATGGGGTTTCGCGAGGCTACTTGGTTAGTATTTTTATAATAATGGCTTATTTGTTTAAAGAAATGCATTGTATTCCAGTGGCTAAATTGTACAATATATTTACAAAAGTATTTACATTATACAAAATAAAAGAGTAGAATCATAAAAATACAAGTAAACAATCTTTATGCAATTGTAAATTACTCATGAATGTAATATACAGATGTGTGTCTATTATTAAATAATTAGTACGTTTTAAATGCAAAGATAAAGATTCAAATTACTATAGTGTAATGTAAATGATGACCGAACAAGGAAGAGTGAGGTAAAATCAAGTTTCACTTTTGAAGAAGGCAGGTGGAAATGACAGAGTGAGAAAGAGGACTGAGAGTGCAAGAAAGAAAGAGAAGTTGAGAATAGTGGATAGAGAGAGAGAGAGATGGATTGACAAATAGTGGGGTGAGAAAGGTAGAAGGGACACAGAGGGACAGAGAGGACGATAGAGAAAGAGAAAGGGAGAGCGAGGGGTGATGAAAAGAAAGAAGAAAGGGGGTAGGAGGTCATTCACACACAACAATACTATGAAATAACACAAACATTGGCAAACGTTGCAATGTAAATTAGAAGTAAGTTTTCCACAGTATATACGCAACGTAACCGACAGAAAATCATGAGAATGTGCTGTTGAATGTTTGAGATCGGTTTCTATAACCTTGAAATTCACAAACGACATGTTTTCTACAACAGCTGCACCTCTACACAATGTCAATTTATCCTTTTTAAGTAACTATTTTTAAAATCTCTACCAAATGACCTTGAAAAAAAATCAAACAGACGTATACTTAAAGCAAATTTAATACAAGTATTTGCGAAATACTGATTCAGCATTTTGGCTAAATTTAACACAAGATATTCCCTATAATGTCCCTATACTATCTCCATAGTCCCAGTTAGCTCGGGTCCGAGTATCGTACGGCGTACATGATTTAGATGCATTGTAGTACTGCTGCACATCCGAACAAAGTGTAATTTCACATGTCCAGTGTAGACGCATACAATCCTTCATCCAAGTCATTGAGAGACAGGTAAGTCTATGAAAATCAAAAGCAATGCTATTAATAATACTAATCATAATAATATCAATAATAATAACAAAAGTCAGACATCATCGTGAAATAGGATTTGTAAGATTTTATTGACTCTATCGACCCCCTCTCGGGGTATGAGAGTACAAACATATTTACAACATAGTATCAATATAACAATAGTATAACAATAATATACATGTGATAACATGAAAATTGATAAACATAATAAGATAGTATAAACAAAGATAAACATGTGATAATATGAACAATAATAAACATGTGATAATATGAACAATAATAAACATGTGATAATATGATTATGAACAATAATAAACATGTGATAATATGAACAAATAAACATAATTACAAATCAAGGCGAACTGGGCAATTCACCCTCCTACCGCTACGAGTGTGCCCAACAACATTGCTTATTTGTGAGCTATCATTTACAGTATTACCATCTACCCTTGAGTCTTTTGAAAAATATGACATAATGATTCTAACAAATTTTGCTAATTTCTTTAGCTGGCAAGCGTGAGCTGTATTAAAAACCTTATCCATGTGCAACGCACGTGGTCTTAAGCACTTGGTCTTACAAACAATATCGTTCTTTAAAAAATTCTTTGGAAAACTTCAAATTGATCTATACACTCATAACCCCAGACCTCAGCACCATATAATAGAATTGGCAAAACTAAGTGATCAAATAAATGACATTGTGTATCAACAGATAAATGCAACCTTTTGGCCTTTACTAACATACTATACATTGCCTTTTGAGCTTGTGTGACCTGTTTAGCAATTGCTTTTTTAAAGTTACCATTATAATTAAACGTCACTCCTAAATATACAAAGTCATAAACAACTTCCAGTACACCACCATCATAAACAAATTCTGGAATTCTTCTAACTTTCCCACGTGAAAAAACAACAATTTTTGTTTTGCTGGCATTAACAGTTAAGTGCCAAGTATCACAATAATCTTTCACTGCGTTTAGGGCTTTTTGCAACTCTTGAGGAGTTTCTGCTAGAATAATTGTGTCATCAACATATAACAAAGAAAATAACTCCTTATATATTTCAATACCATCAAAAAGCAACTTATTTTTAATAATAGTATTCAAAAATTCCAAGGCCTTGTACGAGTTTCCTATAGATTGTTGGAAATCGTTCAAATAAATAGCAAACAAGAGAGGTGAGTGGTTTTCACCTTGACGCACTCCAATATTGCATGTAAATAAACTGGACATATCTCCCTCGTTAGCAACACATGATTTAGCACACCTGCACATGTTCATTATAACATTAAAAATCTTGCCTTTTACTCCCATTCTAAACATTTTAATCCACAATGCTGCACGGTCAACCAAATCAAAGGCTTTCTTATAGTCAATGAATGCACAATAAAGGCGTTTAGAATTATTTAAGTAAACATCAATAATAGACTTTAAAACATATACATTATGTGTGATTGAATAGTTGGACCGGAAGCCAGCTTGCTCTTCCCCTAACAAACTCTCATCCTCAAAAAATTGAGTGATCCTATAGTTCAAAATTGATGTAAATAGCTTACCTAAGCAACTCAATAAAGTAATGCCTCTATAATTATCAGGGTTTGTAATCTCTCCCTTATTCTTAAATATAGGAATAATTATCCCAATACACCATTCTGTTGGAACAATACCAGAATCCAATACAACATTAAAGAACTTAACTACAACCTGAAGAATCTCCAGGGGGCAACTTTTAAGGAACTCATTTCTAATAGAGTCCCTTCCACAAGCTTTAGTATTTTTAAGCTTCTTAATCATCATGTCAACTTCCTTCAAAGTAATCGGAACATCGAGACAAACATTTTCCTGAGATAACTCTTGCATAACAATTGGAGGTTCTGGCTCATCAACCTCCTTATAACTTAGACGACTAAAATGATTTAAAAAATCCTTTAATGAAACATTTCCAATATCTTTCTCCTTACGTTCATTCTTACCATTCAGTATCTGCCAATATTCCTTAGGATTTTTTGTCCGCAATGAACGTAATGATTTATTCAAGTCCTGAAAATATAACCTCTTTTTACAACGTAACAAATTCCTATAAGATTTATGATAGAAAAGTTTAGTTATCGAAGTGCCCACCCATTATGCCCATGGATAAATAGATAGAGAGAATGTAGAACACCTAAGTAGAGATGACTCCAATTATCATCGGACACATAATCATGGTGAAAGGGGAATTGAAGGTGTCTCATCATCACCAATATATCCACGAATCTACACGTCTAAGACCTGCAGAAGTCAGGTATACTGACACAACAGCAGAACAATAATATAGCATAGGCCTATAAAACGTCGCTCTTGATAGCACATCGTGCTTGTTGTTAAAACTCAATCTTCAAGAAAAAAATACGGACTTGATCCTGTTTGCGGAATAGTAATGACAATAATAATAGCATTACCAACAACAACAACAATAATACTGATATCAATTATAATGATAATAATGATGATACTAACGATAGCTACATTAATATCTCACATATATCAACCCAGAAGACGGTCGATGCAAATTACTATTGTTATACCGGCTAAATCACTGAAAGAATTCAAGGAATAAATCCCTTCCCAGTACCCATTTTCTACACCCGGATGGAGAGTGGCAAATATTGAATAATATCTAGCCAAAGGCCATAGTGCCACGGCGGGACTGTAACAACGAATCATGTACTCCACAGTCCGGTGACGTATCAACTAGACCATGACACTGCCAATTAACACCGAAGGTCGACCGCAATGAATTACTCTCACATTATCATTTTCATGTTTAAAATGAAGAATGACATTTGTCATGTAATATTTTTTTTCTTATAATTCTATTAAAAATGGAAGTACGCAAAATATGATTATTTGATATACATGAATATAAAAAATATGAAAATTAATATGAATGATATGGCAAATCAGTTAATCAAATTTTTTTTTAAATGCAATTTTTTTTCGATAATTCATTGAATTTCCCCCGGTTCCAAACATAAACAAATTTTCTGTGTGCCCATGCCTCGAGCCATAATGCATGGTCGTACAAAGGATTTTTTATGTTGGGGACTGGGGTAAAATTCAATGAATTATTGAAAATTTATTGCATTTTCTTTTTTTCTTTTTTTTATTTGTGGGAACTGCTCCCTACCCTAGCACCCGCTGCGTAGTCATGGTTCAGTGGCAGAGCAATGGCCTCGTAAATGTGAGGCCCCATGATCAAAACCGTGTCGATGTGCCATATTAGTGCCCTTTTGTGGGGCATTAATCCTTATTACTGTCATTTATGACTTTAGGGCGTAGGTCCCCTAGTTGATAAGCATAGTAGCATACACATGCTTTAGCAGTCACGCAAAACAAACACTGGCAAGTTATTATTCAATAAAGTTTGAGAATGTATACTATTTTCTAGATCTATTTGGAATAAATCATTGTCAAAATAATTCCATAAATTGGGGTAAAAAACGATGTTCCAACTATATAGGAGCGACAGTGTAGTAACGGAATTTATACAAATGGATATGTAAAAGGGAACTAAATGATGCATTAGATATGTTAGAAGAAGATAATTTGAGTACAGCTTACATGAGTCTTTTCTAGAATCCTTTCCAAACTCTTGAGGATATGATCAAAATTACTCCGATTTGTAGCTTCCTTCTCCCAACAACCAGACATTACCGTATACCTGAAAGATAAGGAAAATATGATCCTTATCTAATAGAATTACCGAAGTCACTTTCTCTTTATGTCTCTCCTTATTTTATTCTTTGTTTTTTCCTCCTATCACCTTTTCTCATGGTATTCTGTATTGTTATCCTTATATCACTTTGTTCCTACCATTCCTTATGTCTTTCTTTGTTTATCTTTCTATCACCATCTCTGTTGAGTGTTGAGACGTATTATTTTCAGCTTCAGATTCAGATTCAATGGAAAGATTGCAGATTCAAGTGTAATCGTGTTTCTTATTGTTTGGAAACATATCTGCATTTGATACAAAACATCTTAATGAAATCTAGGAAATATAGATATAGCATCGAGTGAGTCAAATTATGACATGTACAGAACCATTCGCTTGAGAGAGTAATGTTTACACTTCTTGTCCACAATGGCGAGGGCGTGGCATCTGGTAACCATTGGCAACCTCCGTTTGGATAGTGTCAAAGGTCATTTTAGGGTATGGCCTCGCCCCTGAAAGAATCGAAGAAAAATAATTTTAAAATAAAACATTTTTTCCAATATACGAATATGTGACATCCAAAGCTATGGAGAGAAATTATATATATTTATCATACACATGTATATACAATTTGTCATCAACCATTGATAGTACACTGTCGCTCATAAAGGTGGGATATTTCAGTTTCACCCAAATTTATGGAATTATTTTTAAAATTATTTTAAAATAATAGATCTTGATAATAGTATACATTCTCAGATTTTATTGAATAATAATATGCCGATGTGTGTTTTGCGGGACTGCTACTATGCTACTGCTACTGCTACTGCTACTATGCTTATTAACTAGGGGACTTACGCCCTCAAGTCATCAATGACAGTAATGAGGATTAATGCCCCACAAAAGGGCACTAATATAGCACATCGACACGGTTTTGATCCTGGGGCCTCACAGTTAAGAGGCCATTGTTTTGTCACTGAACCATGACTGTACGCAGCGGGGGCTAGGGTAGGGGGCAGTTTCCATAAATAAAAAAAAATTAAAAAATGCAATAAATTTTCAATAATTTATTGCATTTTATCCCGGTCCCCAACATAAAAAATACTATGGACGGTCATGCATTATGGCTTAAGGCACGGGCACACATAAGTTTTTGTTATGTTGGGGACCGGGGTAAAATGCAATAAATTATATAAACTTTATTGCATTTTCTGTGTTTTTTTTATTTATGGAAACTGCCTCCTACCCTAGCCCCCGCTGCGTACAGTCACGGTTCAGTGACAAAGCAATGGCCTCGTAACTGTGAGGCCCCAGGATCAAAACCGTGTCGATGTGCTATATTAGTGCCCTTTTTATGCGGCATTAATCCTCATTACTGTCATTTATGACTTAAGGGCATAGGACCCCTAGTTGATAAGCATAGTAGCATACACATGCTTTAGCAGTCACGCAAAACACACATTGGCAAATTATTATTAATAAAATCTGAGAATGTATACTATTATCTAGATCTTTTATTTTTAAATTATTTTTAAAAATAATTCCATAAATTGGGATAAAAAAAAAATATTCCACCTTTATGAGCAACAGTGTACAAGCGGAATTAAGCGGACAAATTTAGACTAAATGTTAATCATATTTGCGACATGTATTTGAATACAAGTAATGCAATAAATAATTTTTTTTTAATCGAAAATGTTATTGTTCAGTCTTATAGAATGGAATAAGTGGCTTGATTTCTTTATCTCTAAAATGCATCAAACAAGTATTAGTCATGATCTATTTTGATTATTTAAGTGCAATGATTTATATCACTTTTCTTCATAACACCATATGATACACGTGAATTGGAGGAGTCGTGGTATAGTGGCTTATTCTCTTGACTCTCAATACGAGGTTTAAGGGTTCGAATGCCAACTTAGCACTAACTTCCTTTTGCAAGATAGTATTCAATATTTACCACTCTCCACCCACTCCACCCACCTGGCAATAATATTGCAAGGGTAATAATAATGGGAGGGCCCTGATTAAGAACATCTGTAACGCTTATGAGGCTTCCTACGTGAAGAACGTCTGGGTAATTAAGATGGTACACAACATTATATGCGATATTAACATTATTTTTTCACCTAATGTCACAATTTCCCACAGCACGATACCAAAAGACCAGCTATCTCCTTCTGTTGATTGATCACCAGTAACCATGGTTTCAGGCGAACTCCATCTAGTTGGTTTCTGAGATGTTGGAAAATATAAAGAAGGTTTAAAATCGTTTATTATCATTTATCAATGGTTTAACAAAAACCGTGATTAGCAGCCAATGGCAGAATTGTTACTAATTTACAAGCAGATTTGAAAATACATCGAAAACAATATTATATATACAAAACATTATGGCCAATAAAAGTGTTGATAAACAGAATGTATCCATATACCATAAAGAGTATAATCATTAAATAATCTATGCTGATAACGCATTATTAAATAATGGCCATAATACTCACACCTCTATCGCTAAACAGTGATGAAGATAGTCCATAATCAGATAGCTTGCATTGCTTTCTATCAGCTAGTAACACATTGTGAGCGCAGAGAGTTCCATGGATGATCTTTGAAAAAATTATATATATATATATATATATATATGATAAAAATAAATAAAGAAAGAAAAACTACAATTACAATTTTTTTTTTTTTTTTTTTTTTTTTTTGTTCACCTTTGATCATCATAACCATCCTCGTACCATACTGGCTTACTCCTCTCCTATTCTTCCACTTTCTTATTCCACTTTTTTAATTCTCATCCTTCTCGTATCCCCTTTGTCCTCTCCCCCTCCCTTCCCCCCCCCCCCCCCTCCCTTCCCCCCCCCCCCCTTTTTTTTTTTTTTAGCAGATGTTTCTGCATTTATTGATAAATCAAATATAAAACATTCAAAGAACAATAATAGTATATATATAATTGATTTACATAAAGAGTGACAACTTAATACACACAAATAAACAAAAATGCATTATTGAAAGCTTGAAAGTATGGAGGTAAGTAAAAATAATCAAGATAAATGCAGAGGCCAACTATCATAAGCAAGGATGCTTGAGTCGATAGCAGCCAGGAAGGGGGTACATGGCGCTGTTTAGGAGAATGTAGGGGAATAGAGAGTCACGCATAAAGATTTTGTTCAGAAAGTATCTGAATAAAAAGTAGAAAGAAAAAAGAAGAAAAATGTGCAAGTGTGTGCAAGTGGGTGTGTGTTAATTCTCTTCTAGTGCAAGCGATGAAACCAGGTTACCTTCTTTGATGCAAGATATTGCATTCCTTTTGCAATTTGCCAAGCCAAGTTGAGTAGACTACCTTCATCGATACGAACCCTCTTTGGTTTGAGGTTGCCGTATGTGGGTTGGGATTGCACCCCTGTAGTCTGCAGATGGGTGAGTAGGGTACCCCCAGAGATGAACTCATACAGGATGCTACCTGCATCATCGGCAAATCGTTCAATTAAAAACAATAATGTATGAAACTGATATTCAATACATTTGGCATCATGTTACAGTGAAGGAAAATCCTCTACATTAATCATTAATTACAATGGACTGTTCTTTTACTCTTATTTAAAGATAAAGTTGAGTTCTGGTCATGCAATTGCATTGTGAGAGAAACATTGTGGAATCGATCAGAAGTGGTTGATCCTCTAGCATATCAAGTATGCAGTATCAATTATCAAGTTTACTTGTCTTCCAGAAAACACATGTGACAAAATATAATAGGGTATAATCATAACAGTACAATGTAGAATAAAGAAAGACGAGGAGACCTTGGTTGAAGCACAGCTTGTTAAGTTAAGGCCCCCTCATATGATGTTACAAAGATAACTGATTCATGAATACAACAACAAATATGTAATATATAAAACTATTTACAAAATACTCTCAGAAAACAACTACCCAACGATGCATCGACCACATCATGGATGACCACAACAAGTATACCCGAAGATGCGAACATCCCCATCACACCGGGTGAGCTAACAAACTCACCGTGTATGTGAAAATATATGTCATATGAGCACGAACAACCCACCAATGGGAGGGCGATCTAATATGGACAAACCCAAGCTGACACCAAATCGAGACATCAATGAGCAATTGCTCTCTAAATGCATAGGTCATATGGTATATGTATAGATGGGAAAGAAGAAGAAAAAGAAGAGGGATCAAGGGGATTATGTCAAAGTCAAGAAATAACGAAAAATAGATCGAGAGTACAGTTGAATATGCTTCAATACGCAATAAGTATTGGTGTGTACTGCAAGGTACTGGAATCATCAAAATGATAGGAAACTTGGCACATGTACAGTCTTGGTAAAGTTACAAGCATTGTACACAGAAAGTTTTATATGGGTATACACAAACATGTGGCATAAAAATCCGTCCCGATTTTTATGATATTACATGCCATAGTTAGACTATTAAAGCATTTGAAGAGCCATGATTTTCAGGGAACATTTTTTATCTGATGTTCATCCACACTTGCATAATACATTGATAACGCTTACAAATTATTGTTCACCTCTTCCCAGAACCCAACCTTCTTTTTAACTGATTGCGGGAATTGCTCAAAATGATACACACCTTTAGGTTACCTATAATGATTTTTTCCAAGGTCGTTCCCCCAAAAAGGAAAAAATGTTAATGTTCATATTAATATTGATTCAATTAAGCAGACTTTTTTTGTAATTGCGGGCGGAGGTGTTTTTACCTTGCTCTTGACAATATCCCAGGCACTTGACAACATTTGGTTGATCCGGTAGCTCAGAAAGAACCTTGACAGCCCGAGAAATGTTGGTTGATTTGGTCACTTGATCTAAGAGAAGATACATCCTATGTATAACTACCTCAATTGCTTTCAATTTCAAAGAGAGTGTAGGGTTAAAATCATTTGCAGAACATATCAATCATTCATTTGTTATTAAGATCGAGTGAAAACAGTGAATATAAGTGAATAGAGTATATATATACGTATATGTTATGTGTGTGTGTATGTGTGTTACTTTTTACGTTTGTTTTGGTCCTACTTTAATATAACTTTCTAGAAAGCTGAAAGCTGATGGTATCTCTGCTTATCATTATCCAATGTACATAATTATTGCAGTTTCATTAATGTTACTTAATTATTTATGATCATTTTTATTGTTCATTATCATGTTAATGTTATACATTGTTAGTTAAGTAATTCGTCCAGATTGAGCGCAATGTTCATTTCACGTTTCTTGTTGATCCTTATTACATGTTTAGTTTAACCGTAATTTTCAATTCATTTGTTTTGTAAAGCGCTATAGTCCGGCAGCCAAACCCGGATTTGGGGCCTAACCTTGTTTTGGTGAAATAAGTTTTTTTTTAAATGGATTCTGATTGTCTAGGTATCCACTGTGAACAAGCAAAAAACTGGAGTTCCGTCAGCCTTGAGCAATTTGAGATATAAGCAAAAACAAAATGGCCGCCAAAATGGCGTTTTCTGCTCTAAAAATATGTGAAAATGTATACTTTGTCATGTTTTTTTTTCTGCATTTAGAACCCTTTTCTGATTTTTTACCAGATATGATATATATGATACATATTTTGATAATTCTAAATATTATTTTAGATGGCAGAGCCCAATTTATACATTATTTATACAGGGTGATTCATAAAAAAAGTGTACAAGAGATTGGCTGTTTGCGATTTCTACTTCGATAACAAGCAATCAATGTATACACACTCTGGCAACATATTTTGTGATGTATATAAGCTGCATTTTAATTGAAGCTAATTGATGTCGCCTATCATCATATCGCCTTTAGCAATTTGTGATTATAAGCAAAAACAAAATGGCCGCCAAAATGACGTTTTCTGCTTTAAGAATATGTGAAAATGTATACTTTGTCATGTTTTATTGCTGCATTAAGAACGCTTTTCTGATTTTATTTAGCCAGATATGATTTATATGATATATATTTTGGTAATTCTAAACGTGGTTTTAGATGGCAGAGCAATTTATACATTTATACAGGGCGATTCATAAAAAAAGTGTACAAGAGATTGGCTGTTTGCGATTTCTACTTCGATAACAAGCAATCAATGTATAAACATATACGCTGCATTTTAATTAAAGGTAATTGATGTAGCCTATCATCTCAAAGCAAATGTATTTGTAGAGATACCCTGTTGAACATACACACATCTATGATGAACTGCTACGATTCAAGAAGTGTGCAGCTGTAGAGGCAGGGAAAAACACTAAACTGACAGCATTATCAAGTGCTGAAGATGGTCTTGTTCAGATCATAGTTGACAACTTCCCGTGCAGTTCTCATGACCCAGCCAGATACAAGCATGTACCATGATGATCAGCAAGAGATTTCACAACTGAAGAAGGTTGAGATGTCTAGAGATATTGACTACAAGCTTGACATCATGAGATACACTAGTCCAAGAAAACCAGATAGGCCACCTGTCAAGAACCAAGTTCCACCACTTAGTGTTCTCGCTCATATGGTTTCTCGACAGAGACAAAATGAATGTGATCTCAGGTTCTTGACAGATGTTGTGCATGATAACTCTCCTGAATTCAATGGATATAATACGCATTTGTGTCGCAATCAATGAAAAGCCACACAACCAAAAACTAAAGCAGTGTATCTATCGTTGATTGAAATGCCACCAGCACATCCAGACACAATAATGACAGCCATGAGCAAATCACAGCAGTTAAACAGAGAAAACTGGTCAATGTTTCACTGTCTTCACTGCAGATCAATAACTGTACAGGGTTGCAGTAGAGGTACAACCTGATCAAACCTAGTACTGATAATGATGCTCTATGTACGGGCTGAATGAGAATTAAAGTGATTGGCCTCTACACCTGGAGGTAGTGAGGCTTATGATACCCTGCTTCTTTGCGTCGGTACATGTAAACTCCGCGCGATATCGGTTATTCTACCTTCGACGCATGGAAGCCCTACCAGGAGATGCACTCCAGTATTCCATGAAAGGGTCTCATGTGATGAGACACACTCAAGGCTTATGGATTGGCATATGGAGCGACATGGGCATGGTAAAGCTGGTGTGATTGGCATCGCTCTAAAGCCAGAAACTCTCAAGACCTGCATGTGCCCTTAGCTTGCACATATGTATCAGACTTGTGGAAGACGTTCCAACTCTGAGAGACAAGTCGGCTAGTTCTAAAACAGTGCACAAAGAAGAGGCTCCAGCATGGATATCTGCAGACCGAGGTGACAGAAACTGGTTGTGAAGAAAACTGGATGTGAGCATCGATCCAATTGACCCAAAGAAGCACCCAGCGAACATTGTCAATGTGGTCAATGGACAGATCGCTCCCGAATCAGTGAATGTTGACAGAGTAGTTGAAACTGGTGCTCAGCAAATGGGTGAATTTGAACGGAAATTGCCCAGAGGTTTCTACGACACAATTTCGAAGAAAGTTCAAACCATGGCTGTCATGAAGAAATCAATTGTCAGAATTGACGTAGGCGATTCCAAGGTATACGATACCAAGTTGATATACTCTCGCGTGATAGGTCTACAAGCACTGTCCAGAGATGTCGAATTTCATGATGTAATGTCATGCGAGCTGTCGCCAGTTCCTACAGCTCTGTTTGATGAGTCTGGAGATATGGACATCTCGAAGTCCAAGGCCGCTTTGAAGAACCAGAGACAAAGGTTGAAGTATCAGCTAGACACGCGACACTTGAAGAAACGTGTAGAGGGATCGATGGATGTGCTCTCCTTTGGATTCCTAATTGGCCTTCATCATCACCAACACGACAACCAACAGTGATGGACTTTGTATCGAAATTCAAAGGCAAGATTGAAGACAGACTAAAATCCGGTGATGTGTACTTGGTCTTTGAAAGGTCAATGATTACAGTACCAAGTGTACAACCAGGATATCGAGAGGCAATGATGGTTGCAGAGTTTTCCAACTGAGTCCAACTTCACCCCTTCCGTCTCAGAAACTGACTCTGACAGTCACAGAGAACAAGAAACAGTTGATTAACATCATTTGTCAACATCTGCAAGGCGATGCAGGTTTCATCATAAAACACAAGCTTGTGATCACCAGCCAAGATGGCACTCCTGTTCAACTTGGTCCAGGTGGTGTTCCAATCCAACGGCACGATATGGCCACATCTCATGAGGAGGCTGATGTGATTATTGTGCAGCAGGCTATTATGCTTGCAGATGAAGGACGATCCATCAGGGTGCTTGCAGACGACACAGATGTCTATGTTCTTCTGCTTCATATTTCTACCAAAAGCAAAGCCTTCAGTCACCCTTGACAATGGAGTCGCCAATCAGAGACAGATCTGTAATCGATATACATGCCACAGTGGACAGACACAGAGACATCATCCCTTTTATGTTAGCAGGTCACCCATTGACAGGTTGTGATACTGTTGGTGCACATTTTGGAGTTGGCAAAGGAACTTTGCTAAAAGTGCTGCGGCAGAAAAATGGGTTCACATCACCATCGATTGGAGACATACATGCAGATATGGCCGACGTGATGAAAGATGCAACAGCGCTCATAACATCATGATATGGACAGCCCAATGCTACGACACTGTCAGATGCCCGACTGAATGTGTGGACTACACGGGTCGGGAAAGCAGGAGCTACCACACTCCAAATCTTGCTGCAATGCCACCAACAGCTGAAGCTTTCAAAGATAATGTTAAGCGTGCCCATCTTCAAACATGGATTTGGAAGAGTGCTTCGGAATTGAATCGATGGACATTGGATCCCACTGCATTTGGTTACATGAAAGACGAAGCAACAAAGTCACTCATCCCGGTAACCATTCCACCAAATGTGAAACTTGCACCTGCAAACATACTGAGACTTTTACGTTGCAATTGTGCAAGTGACAACCCATGCAAATCATCAGGATGTGGATGCAACAAAGCCAAATTAGCTTGCACAATGCTCTGTGCGTGCCATGCATCCGTGCGATGTCTAAAATGATCAGACTCTGGCAGCAAAAAAATGTAAATAAAAATGACAGTGATGCGTGAGCTCAGTTCAGCAAAGGAAGAAAAGGCGTATCCTTAAAAGAATTGCGTACAAGATGAATTGTGAAGGTAAAATTCCTAATATCGCTATAAAATGGTAACACATTCATGAAAGAAGAGTGATCAAATTATCTTTTTTCACGTAATGGTATCTTAGTAATTCAAACCTATTGTGAAAACAAATGTTTATTACTATAGACTATTGATAGAAATTGTGTGATAAACTAACATTGCTGCCATTTTGAATATGTAAATGAGCAAACATACAACAGCCTAAAGTCAAATATCCAAATCAATTCATCTCTGATTCATGAAGTACATGTACCAGTATACTACTCTGCCAATTTCCGTAATGTATAATACTTATGGCAAATGTTGCTTAAAATTTATCATTTTGGTGGCCATTTTGTTTTTTCCCATTATCTAAATTAGTAATTATTGACAAATGAGTATGACATAAGTATTTGGTACACTTGGGTGTTCTAAGAATTAACAACATAAGATAGAAAGAAATGAGTATAATACTAGTTTATTGTGATTCTAAACTTAACAGCTGGCATTTATCCGCCATTTTGAATATGCAAATTAGCAACAATTACGATGGAAAATATGCTAATTAGGTCATCTATGGTCATCTATGTTCATATATGGTCATCAGGAATGTGTTGACAATGGTCTTCATGAATTATAAGCACACCATTCTGCCAATATTTTGTAATGTATTATGAAATAATTCAAAATTTGCTGAAAATAGG